TTATGCAGTAATATCCTTTAGTCAGCAGTGCCTTATGTCATTATATATATAATAAAACATTTTTAAAATATAACTTGGGCTTTTCACTAACACAGACCTATCTTGGCCAGCTATTATTAATTAGTTTGAAAGGACTGAATTGATTCGATTCTTTTCTTGCATCAAATCCAGGAAGAGATGCACCCTTCCTGAACTACCATAATTTCAACGGGCCAAGCCTTCTACATTCTTCAGCCCACTGAGTCCTCACAGAACTTCACAAAGCTGGTACTGTGATGAGCTCTATTTCACAGATGAGGAAAGTAAGGCGCAAAGAGGTAAGTAACTTGCCCCAAATCTCACAACTGGAAAAGGTAGAACAAACATTCAAGACTTGGTTGTCTGATTCTAAAGCTGGTGTGCTTAACCACTACGTAATAGAAATGCCATTCCCCTCACTTTGTGCAAAAAAACCTTGTCAAATATAACTTTAATAACAATGATTTAGGCCTGCATAATACTTTGCAGCTGACACAGTGCTTCCACATCCTCCAGAGCCACCCCTTCTTGGGTGACACTGACTACAACACTGATGTGTGTGTAAAGTGTGGCCACCTGCTGGGATATCCAGAAAATGCTACACTCCAGAATTTCCAAAGAGTACCCTGCACTGTTCCCACCTAACCCAGTGAGGCGAGTGGGGGACATCCATGGATTTAAGATAAGAATATGTTAAATGAGAAAACCCCTTTATGTATTTTTAGAAGGACTTCTACAGTCATTAGCTGATTGAAAACCACCCCGTGTGGGAGACGGCAAGACAGGATATCTCTGACATCCTGAAGGACAAAGAGACTGAGGCTCAGGGTAACTCAGTGAAGTCCCAGAGTGAACGTGGGACCCCGGCAGGACAGAATCTAAGTCTTCCAGCCCCCTTCCTGGGGGTTGGAGCCACATCTTGGGAGCCTAGGGCATTCCGCATCTTGCAAGCTCAGACACCCCCACCATAGGTGGATGGCTGGTGGCAGGTGGGTCCTAAAATGGAGAAGGAGGCAGAGTCAACCAGCCTACCGCCCATGACCCTGGGAATCTAGCATGATTCTAAAGATGAAAACCTCAAAAGGGGGTTCAATGAACAATTTGAAAAGTGAAAAATTGCCAAGCTTCTAGAAGGCCACGTGTAATATGTCTGAATTGCAGACTTAAAGAAGACATTCTTTCCGATTCTTGGTCATGATGGGAGCATATTCTCAATGACAACTTAAGGTTAAATTGCAACATTAGTCATAGACATTCTCAGCCCCTCCCACAGAATACTGTGACGAGAGATGGAAGTATTCATCTATGTTCATGCATGGCTGCATAGGGTTTACAGTTCATAAACTTCATACTTACCTTGAGGGAAAAAAGACTACGTTATAAAACCAAAGATTTTCCCAAATCATCAACACTTTGCAAATAAACACCAAATCCAATGTGCAAATTAACGTCTGTTCAAGAATACAATAGGATGGCATGGCCACACACATGAAGGAGCCAAGGAGCAGAAACAGATACAGGTATTTCCACATGGCTGACAGACTTGAAGACACACAGCACCATCTAACATTTCCTCATGAGAAGGCAATCACATGGTCTCGACCAGCCTTTTTAAAATGAGGGCGTTTTAATTCAGTGCTTAGGGGATTATATTTGTGTTGGTCTGACAGTCCCCCGAGGTCTATGCAACATAAATTGTCTTCCTCTCAACATTTATATCCTTCTGGTTTGGCAATACCTCTCTAGTGCTCCCTTAAAAAATTATGAAGACTCTTGAGGCTAACATTTAAAAAATAATAATAATTTGCTTTAACAACAACAAAAATATCAATGGGAAAGTAAGAGGGGAGTAGCAGGCAGAGAGGGAAGGCGGTGGTTGGGGGGGCGGAGGTGGAAGCATGCCAGCCCCTCGTCAGTCTCCAGGGGAGATGCCTCCTCATCTCTCCAGGGCAGCTCACAGAGCCTCTGGATCTGCACCTCTATTGAACATGTGCCCTCCTGCACTGCTTCAAAATAGGCTACCCCATGAGATAATGAATGCCTACGCACAAGTCCGCTGTCTGTGTCTGAGATATCTTGGCACCCCTGGCCTCTGGACCAGAGCCGGGCACTCTACAGGATCTCAGGAAATACTGGCCAAATCAGGAACACAGCTGCGAGGCTGTGCTTTGCAGACATGGTTCTGTCTTTACCCAAACCAGCCCTAGCAGAGGCCTTCTGGGGGAGTAGACAGGAGGTCGTGGGCAGCCCCTAGGGGTCTGAGCACAACACACACTGACAGTTAGAATTGCTGGGAAGTCTCGGGTTTTTCTTTTATAATTTCATGTGTCATTTCCAGTCTCCTTCATAAGGGATCTAAGTTTTGTTTTGATGAAAAAATATTTTTTTTAAAAAATTATTTTCCCCCAAAATATATTTGAGTAAACCGGTTGTTCCATGAAGGAGTGTACCTTTTTTATCCTCCAGCTTTGGGTACCTCCCACGGAGGTGCAGGTTTAACCCCCATTTGTGATAGTGGGAAGCCCCGCCTCCCACTTTTTCTCTTTTCTTTTTTTAAGCACCTCACGATCTGGCTCCTGCCTCTGCTTCATCATGCCTGCTGGGGCAATGGTTCCTGCCTGGGGAAGCTAAAAGATAAGCCATGTCACCAGCACTGTTCAAATTAGTGGTTTCCATGGCCTCCGTCAGTTTAGCTGGGTTTAGGAGACATGAGGCACCAAGGAATTCACACCAGGATTGCCGCTGACCTTGTACAGGAAGCTCCTGTGGCAAAATCAAACACGATGTTATTTCTCCAGGAATAGACACCACCCTCACATGTCCAACCCTAGCCTAAGGCCGCTGAGGTTTACTAGGAGAAAGACACTTCTCACGTTGAGGTGAAAGGGCCTGAGGCTTGAGGAGCCACTCATCTACAGGAGGTGGCTCAGGCAGGGGAGGGTTATGTGGCCCCAGCCACCACCTCTCTCTCTGGGGGGCAGTGGCCCCTGGGGCCATCTCTACATAGGGACTTCCTGTGACAGTGTGCATCCCTGGTGTGGAACTGACTACATTCAATCCAGGGCACGGAAGATGCAGAAAGGAAGCCAAGATGGATAAATGCACTCGGCTTTCTGCTCTGGAAAAGGCAGTGTTTCCAAAAATGCGATTAAAGCCTTTTCACTAACTCAGCATACATGAAGACATCATTTCCCCGAGATACAGCCTCGGAAAGAGCAAGATAAAGTGAGTGAGGAAGAGATAAACTCGCCTGAAATCAAATCCATCAACACTGCTTCCTGAGGGTGCCTGGGCGCAGCGCAGTGACAGAGGCTCCTCTGGGAGACATGGGCCCCTCTTGGGCCTCCTGGTATCCTGCCTGCCCCCCACATCCTGGCAATGGCTATATAAAGGAGCTGACTGTGAGAGAGCCAGACAGCCCCCGGCTCCCTTCTCTGTAGCACCCCACCTTCTGGGGGTGTCTGAGAGGCGGTATGGATGCAGGGCTGACCACAAGGGTTCTGGGATGGCATCTCCAGCTACAGGCAAGGCACAGCCTGCAACATAAGGAGTCCCCTTTCCAGGCCAGTCTCTGCTACAGCCTCTTTGTGGAGAGTCAATCCATAGAGAGGAAGTGATAAATACGTAAACTTCAAAAACGGTGACTGAATGATGCGGTCTCTGTAAGGCCATGGGAAACGTGTGCACAAAAGTCGATCATCATTCTGCATTGAGAGAAGGATTCTATAGGTTATGGTTAAAACTGAATCACAGGGACAGTTCTCACAGTGACAGCACTAGAAAACCAAGCTAATAAAGAATCCCAATCTGAGGAAGATTTTGAAACTGTACAGTATTTATGTGCTTGAGGCTTATTTCTCCTTCACAGTAAAATCTAAAACTCCCCTGGAAGTATTTATAATGCACTGTGGTGACCTAAAGGGGCCAGGTTATGTACTAATAGACACAAAATTACAAGGGACGAAAGCCTCTTTCCTGGGGAGACCAAGGCTGGAATTCCTTTAACTCACTTGTAATCTACCTCTACACATTCACATACTAACACGACTGGCTTCGGGGGAACGTTTTCATTAAATTAACAGTGTTTGGCAAGCATCGGAAACACAGAATCTCACAGACAGAAACAGGGAGAAAGAATCACAGTTCAATCCAAAAGCAACACACTGAGGGGCCATCAGAGTCCAAACACATGCAGAGAAGCCGTCAGGGAGCAGCTGGGAGACACGCAGAGTTGCCTCACACGTGGCAGCAGGAGAAGGTGAAACACAGATCCAACTGCTTACCCACTAAGGACACCAAGAACCAGGTTAAGGACGAAAAATGAGCCAAGGATGATGAGACTAACAAAATACACCCATGGCCATTCCCATCCTATCGCATCATTTACCTGTAAAACGTAAGGAGATCAGTTATCAGTTACCCATTTGCTAAAGAGCAGAGCCCCAGTTGCAGCTGCCAGACCTCTCAGTGCTTTGCTGAAGGTTAGTGCTCCTAGGACAGGAACTGGGCCTAGGTCCTTCCTTTTTTTTTTTCTTTTTTTTTTTTTCCTGCAAATAAGGACAAGCTCAGCTGCTGAAATCTACAAATGGGGCCTACCAAAAGCCCACCCAATCCAGCTCATTTTGCAACCATTTTATAACAATTAATCTGCATTCTCTTTGGATCCAGACAAATAAAGCAATTATAAATGTATCTCATTTTAGAACAGACAAAAAAGGGCAAGCAATGGAAATTGTTTAAATCTCAAGCAACAATGCTGATTAATTTCTGGTCAATAATCGTTCTATAGTTCTCCTTCATGAAGCCTGGTGAGGTTCCAGGAAACAGCTTGATGTGGGAAGCCTCAGCAGAAAAGAAAGCATCTCAGAGGACACATAAAATGTCTGGCAACCCCTCTTGGCGGCCCTCATCCAGCAAAGCCTGTGTGGTCTTGGCAACTGTCCTCAGGACTCTGCTTTCAAGATGAAAGAGGTGTAGCTTACCCGCTCAATACACCAAGTACAAGATTTAGTACGAAAAATGACCCAAAGATGACGAGACTGACAAAATACACCCAGGGCAATTCAAATCCCATAGCATCATTCATCTGCAAGAAATAAGATGGTCTCATAGGAGTGGGTTAGTAAGAGAATTCAGTAAGGAGAGAGGGTCACATTAGAGATAGCATTCTATACATTTAATTAAACTTTACTTAGATTTAAATCAGAAACAACAGTAACCAAATCAGAGACAACAGCAGCCAACACACATTCATCACATATTCCCAATACACACACACACATACAGACAGACAGACACACACACACACACACACACACACACAGAGTTATCAAGGCTTTCAAGCCGAATAATAGCAGATTTTGGCCCCAGGAAGGAAAATCAGCTGGAATTTGGCTTTTTCTTACAGGAAACTGTCTTGATACGTGATTTTCAGGAAAGGTCTTGGTAGAGGACAAAACTAGTGCTTAGCTAGAACCTATTTTCTATACTGCCCAAGATTTTAGACTTTGTGTTTAAAATTTGTGATGGTGGAAAAGTCTTAATTATAGAGACAAACTTGCACCATTTGACTCTATAAACTCTTTTTAAAAACTCCTAAAATAACCTTCTACTGGAAGCCAACCTACCCAAGGAAACCAAACCCACTTTACATCTGGATTATCTGCAACCTGTGAGTGCAAACAAAATGAATGCAGCAAAACAAATGCAAAGAAGAATTTTTTCAAGGTCAACTAGCTGACATATAGTCAGGGGCTCTTTGCAGAATGGGCTTTTTCTTTTTTTTGAGATGGAGTCTCACTCTGTCGCCCAGGCTGGAGTGCAGTGGCCGGATCTCAGCTCACTGCAAGCTCCGCCTCCCGGGTTTAGGCCATTCTCCTGCCTCAGCCTCCCAAGTAACTGGGACTACAGGCACCCGCCACCTCGCCCGGCTAGTTTTTTGCATTTTTTAGTAGAGATGGGGTTTCACCGTGTTAGCCAGGATGGTCTCAATCTCCTGACCTCATGATCCGCCCGTCTCGGCCTCCCAAAGTGCTGGGATTACAGGTTTGAGCCACTGCGCCCGGCCCGAATGGGCTTTTTCTTAGCTGAACCCACAGAAAGGAGAAGCAGCCCTTATTCTCCACACTTAGCTTTGATCTAGATGACCCCCCTGGGAGACTGGCTCCAGCTGTGAGCTGACTGGGTTTCGAGGTGAAAGGGTGTGGCCTGAGGAACCCCATTCCCCTACTCTTGGACAAGCTCATGCTGCACACTCAGACACAGTCTTCCTGGTAGATCCTGCCAAGAGAAACCAGAACAAACAGGTGCTTTAAGGATCACAGCTGGATGGAACTTTCCACCAGCACAGGTCAGTGTTAAATTCAGCAAACACCTTTCCCAGGAAGGAGGTGTTAAGGACCAGTCAGGGGACAGAATGGATGACCCAAGGTATGACCCTGCCATAACACCCAGAATTTCCAGCCAATAGGAATTGCGAACAGTCTGGATAGAGCCATCTCTCTTGCCTTGCAGGTGCAAGCCCTCAGGGTGTTAAGCCTGTGCTTTTTTGCACATGATCTGGCTCCAGGTTTTAGCTTTATAGAATGAGGCTCGTGCACTTCACAATGTTTGCCTCATGCAGAAGCCAAATAGGGAAAGTGAACATTAAAAAAAATTACCTAACATCTGTTGCTGAAGTCTAGGGAGAGGGCATTAAATCCCTTATGAAACACCTGTTTGGCCACATGAAAACTGATGTGCTTAACAGAACTCATATCAGTCTGCACATCTTACATTGGCAATTAGAGTAATGAACGAGCCTGGGCCGTGGCTGCAATTGTTGATCTAATTAAGTTGGATAAACTAATTTCAACAGGAAGGCAGAGGGTAATTCATCCAGAGCAACTATACCACTAAACTTACTGAAAACCCCATAGATGAAGAAGACACTGGCTGCCTGGTGCGGTGGCCTGTGCCTGGCCTGGGTCAGCACCTGAGACAGAGCCCCATCTGGGCTTGTTTCCCTCTGGGTTGGAACAGAGGTGCATGCAGCAGGGGAGAAGGTGCCCATCAAGGTGACAGGAGGGCGGACAGGTCCAGGGCTCCCATCAGGAAACCTCACTCTTCCGTGACCCCAGCAACCGTCATCTGCTTAGCCATCTGCTTCACCAACCCTCCTTCAGGCCTCAGTCTGCTGTTCCAGAGAATGGCTCTAGTAACGGCTGTCTTCTCCACTTAGGAGGGACAATTTTCCTTTAAAAAATTTAAAACCCTTTAATTTCTTGGGAGTAGGTGTTCATCAGATTCACATTTGCTCAAATCAGAAGTATCACTTGGAATGACAGTTGAGGCCTGGAGGGAAAGGCTGGAGTTGAACACAGTCCACTGGAGATTCCAAATCTCAAAGTCAGAAGGTGGGGCAAAAGAGACAAGCTTCAGCTCTGAGAGCCAGTCTTGCTCCCAGTGAACCCTTCTCAATCCAAGTCCCTTTTCAGAGCCAAGCATTTCTTAGATCTTAACATATACAAAAGAAAAATCAGAATATGCAAGCTGTTCCCAAAAATACCCACATGAAAATAAAGACTGCTTGGGATTTTGCCTATATGGTCTTTATCAACAATGAAGAAACTGGCTTCCACTGAAGGACTTCAATTTAGATAAATTTTTAAAAATCTTGTATCAAAGTCATCAAGGGGTGTCATCTGGTGCCCAGGAGTTTTCTTTTTAGCTTCAGTTTTCCTTCTTTTAGAAGGCTGAAATGGGCCAGGTGCAGTGGCTCATGCCTGTAACCCCAACACTTTGGGAGGCCAACGCAGGCGGATCACCTGAGGTTGGGAGTTCAAGACCAGTCTGGCCAACATGGTGAAACCCGTCTCTATTAAAAATACAAAAATTAGCTGGACGTGGTAGCAAGTACCTGTAATCCCAGCTACTTGGGAGCTGGAACCCCAGAGGCAGGGGTTGTAGTGAGCTGAGATCATGCCATTGCACTCCAGCCTGGGCGACAGAGCAAAACTCCATCTCAAAAAAATTAAACAAAATAAAAATAAAAGGCTGAAATGCATATTCATGTCTCAAGTTATAGACCAATGCAAGGCTGTTTTTCTAGCTGCTGAAAACACTTCTGGAAAGTTGGTATACTGGTTTTAACACCCCAGAGCATGCAATAAGAAAAAGGCAAGCCCTCGGCTGGTTATTGAGAAACTTCCTAGGTGCCCTGGATGAAGGAGATTGTCAGCTTGACCATGAGTACTTCTTGTGAAGGTCTGACAGCCAGCACCTCTGTAGGAGTGTGCATTGAGAAAAGAGCTCAGTGCTAAAGCAAGACACCAGAAATTATCTGGATAGCTGTCTCCTGAAACCAATACTTTTTATTTCCCACATTTAAAAACGACTTCTTTCAATTGAAGGGAAAAAAATTTCCTCCAAGTTGAAGAGAAAAATCAAATCATGTAAGTTTAATTCTGCATCTTGAGAAGCCCACAGAGGTTCCATGACCTACTCCAGGTCACACAACCAGCCTAAACAAGCACTCTTTCCCTGCCCTACACCCTGCTGCCTCTGTGAGCAACAAACACTTACATGTGGGTCAAACAACAGCTCAGTTATATTTATGGAACTCACTTTATCAAAGAACTCTACCATAGGTTTCTTTCCGCCAGAACTTAATGATCCCACTTCCCACACATCCAAATAGTCCTGTTCTAAGTGTGCCTTTCTACATATTGGACCCACCCGTAATTCCCTTCTCAAGACCCTGCCAGACATTTTCCAGACGCTAGGGAGAAGCAAGGCATAAATGAGCTTGAGAAAGCTGACTGAATATAAACTTGACTCGATGCAAAACAATGCCCTGCAAAGACTTTGTCCACCATATGTAAACACCTAAAGGATTCAGAAATGTGCTTGTAGTCAATATTTAAAATCTAATCTCTTTTTATCTCCCAAGATGTTCCCTTTATGCCCTAGTTGTGGATAAAAATAGATATTCAAACATGGCACATCTACACTAATGAGGCAATATGCCTGGTACACTTGAAGGATGATGCCCATCACTTGTGTTTATTGAGTGCCTGCTCGGTGCCAGGCACCGTGCTGGGCAGGGATGTTCTGCTACGTATCACAGTGGTGTGGCTTCCAGCTGACTGTGGCCCATGAAATATTAGGAAGGCTTGGTTCCTTGGCCCCTGCCTGTCTCTATGATGAGCTAATAAATACAATCAACAGGTAATTAAAAACAATCCTGATGTGTTTCAGAGAGTAAGATCTTAGAGAACAGTTGGGAAGACATTACTTAGCTGCCCCCTAGTGTTCTGGAAGGATTCATAAACTGCTGACAGGTGGAAGAATGCCAAGGAAAGAGTGCTGGGTTCTAGTCTAGGCCAGTGGGTTCCCATAGCATGACCCGCAGGCCAAATCCAGCTTGCTGTCTGCTTTTATATGGCCTCAAGCTAAAAGTGATTTTTACAGTTTGAAATGGTTGGTGGAGGAAAAAATCAAAAACAAAATATTTCATGACACAGAGAAGTCATACAAAATTCAATTTCAGGGTCCATAAATGAAGTCTGATTAGAATAAAGCCACATCCATTTGCTGATGTATTGCCCATGGCTGCTTCCTAGCTATAGTGGCAGGGCTGAATAGTTGCCAAGGTGACCATGGAGCCTGCAAGACCAAATATATTTTCTATTTGGCCCCTTATAAAAAGATTTGCAGACCTCTGTTCTAGATCAAGGACCACAACCATTTGCTGTAGAACCCAGGGAATGTTCCATGGTCTCTACTCCACTGTCTCCATCTTCAAGATCCCAGATCTTCTATAAAGGGATATAGACTGGCATAAAGTTTATAAACGACTTGAGATCCTCCACCAGAATAAAAATGCTGTGTAATTCATGGAGAATGCAATTATACTGTCAAATTATTAACCATGTGATTGTCATATTAATAATAAAAATAATAATTATATCATCCTAGATGATATTTAAACCTTCTCAGGAAAGCAAGTGGAAACTTTTGTTTCCAGGAGCCTGAAGTTCCCTCTCCTTTAATCATCTACTCCCAGGTTTTACACTTGCTTGGCAACAGGAAAATTGTGAGAATCGATGTGCGGGAATATAACATAAAGTATAAAATTGTTCATTAGTCAAGGTATGTTGGATCCACAGTTGACAATTCACCATGTCAATGGAGAGAAAAACAAAGCTGAGAGGAGTCACAGATTTTGATTTTTTAAAAATCAAAATGTTGTCTTCTGTACTGTCTGGGGAGGGGAAATATCAGAGTTTGGGCTATTGTGATGATGCTTTTTCTATTTATGAGAAACTTCAAGGGAAGACTGGAATTGAGATCTCAACTAATCTGACCAGAAGTTGCAATTTAGGAAATAATAGCAAAAATGAATGCTTCACCTAACCTGAGGGCCCTCTTGCATACGGGAGCCATGCCCCCGGTTCAGCCAATACCATCCCCCTCCTCCTTCCTCTTCATGAAAAGACATTGTTTTACGAATATAAATAACAGATGTGCATACCCCCCTCCCCCACATACACACACACACAGACACACACACACACACACACTCTCTCTCTCTCTCTCTCTCACACTCCTATGACAATCAGAAAAAGACAGGGAAGTAGGAAAAACAAGATATAACGTGTTGGTGATGCTTAAACCTCATCAAACTAGACTCACTTCGGGGACTAAAGGTAAAAATATACCTTCTTTGCCTAATATTAAATATATGGGGACATCTACAATCCTGTGAGCTGGCAAAGGGAAGCAAAAACCTATTTATAACCATTATCTGTTACAGTCTCTGAAGTTATGGAGGAACAGCAAATCCTAAAAAGTATCTAAAATTTAGAAACTATCAGAAGCTACTTCTCAATTTACAGGCCTTCTGTCTAAAAGCTGCTGACTTCAGAAGTACTTTATTACTAATTTCCTTTTAACAACTCATGATTGGAATCCTGGTTACTCCCCTTTGGACTTGGATTTAGGCTCAAAATCTACATGTTAGCTGTCTTTACCAGCAACTCTTATACCATGGAAAACAATTTCTAAACTTCTGTGAGCTTTATTTACATTCTAACAAACAAACTCAGCCCTGGGAAATGGCTGTTAAAATACTATAGCACTTATTTTTATGTAGCAAATCTTTCTGGCTCTATCGGGAACAAGAGGAATCAGACCCCCGCCTTGAAAGAGCGTCCAGCTGTTTTCATGGCAGGCTGGATGGGTCCACCAGCCCTGGAAGTCTACATGCCATTCCTACCCTTTCTGCCAGAGCTCTGTAGCTTCAAATAGAAAAGAAGACAGCTAAGGGTTTGTGTTGGGCCAATTTATGGTAATACTAAAGACAAGAACAGGAAATATTATCATGGGAGACACTCACATTGGGTTTAAGGTTATACTGAGTTACGGAAAGCACTAAAGGGATCCGATTTACATTCCCTTTCTTCCCTTTAGGATCTAGTAGAACAACCTGCCTTGATGTATAAACGATTAACTTTAGCCTGTGGCAGTCCAGGAGCCTCGTTACCTGGAAAGTGACCCTTTGGCTCTCTTAAGAGTTGAATCAGGATAGCCCTGGCTTCCTGGAGTTCCTCCAAAGGGGACCACTGGGCACCCTTGGCACCAGGTCTTCAGGCAGCACTGGGGAGTGGAAGACTAAAGCCAGAAGCCAACATCGTGCAGCAGCTTCCTGCAACTGAAACTAAGGCCCTCGAGGAGCAGGATGATGAAGGCTGCTGGTAAAGACAGCATCTGCTTCCCTTCCCAGATAACTGACTTCAGGGTTTCTCTTCCAGCCACCTCTCCAGTGGCTCTAGCTCATAAAACTCACTTATCCAAGGAAAGAACCCTCCACAAACTCTCTCCCCAGGGTACTTACCCAGTAGAGCACATCTGTCCAGCCCTCCATGGTGATGCACTGAAACACAGTGAGCATAGCAAAGGCAAAGTTATCAAAGTTGGTGATGCCTCCGTTCGGGCCGACCCAGCCACTCCTACATTCCGTGCCATTGGCAGTACACTGGCGTCCGTTCCCTGAGAACGCACATGGAGCTGGGTCCTCTTCAGCTACGATATCTGCAAACACAGCAAACAGGCTGCACCACTCAGGACAGAAACATCAGGAAATCCAAGCCAGGGAAGGTGAGCATCCTCGCCAGAGCCTGGGACACCCTACTGCCCGCTCTGCGATGCCTCAGGATTCTGCTCGTCCTTCAAGGTTCCCTTCAGATGCTCCCTCCTTAGTGGAATCTGCCATTTCCTCTTGTCAGAATCCATGGCTCTTTTCCTCTGCACCTGTGCTTACAGCACCCTCCTTAGGCTTAGACAGCACAATGCTGTTGGTTTGCCTCATGTTTTTACTTTGGAGGTCTCTCATCTTGTTTGCCAGGACACATTACACAGGAAATCGAGGTGGAAAGGGAGACTGAATTCTCATCTATTCTGAACACAGCTCATACTGAGAACTGGCTCAGTAAACGTGCTGGTATATTGGGCATTTTTTTTCCTATTTTGCTTTAGATTTTCCCCAAACTATGAAAGTTGCTTTGGGGAAAACCAAAAATTTTTTAAATTAAGTTAGCTATAATTCCCATTACTCACCTGAGTCAGCAAAAAAACATGTTTTGTGCATTTTTCCAATAAAAAGTTCCAATCCTATAATAGCATAGATTATGATTACAAATAATACCAAAAGGGCTATGTGAAGGAGGGGAACCATGGCTTTTATAATGGAGTTCAGGACAACTTGTAAACCTAGGAAAGACAAAAAAAAAAAATAATAAGTTTGTGAGCCAGGAAGGTACTCCAATGACTCATATATATAATTCCTACTCACGCCTCCTTTATTTAGAACACATAGTAATACAATTCAAAGAGGTATTTCAAAGCTTTTCATTAATATTAAGCCTGGATATGAGACAGACTGAAAAGGAACCTTCAAGATCATCTAGTCCAACTCCCTCACTAGACAGAGGGAAAAACTAAGGCCTAGGGAGGGGACTGCCCACTGTCGAAGTTCATCATTCATTTATGCATTTCTTCATCCATCTGACAAAATCTCTTAAACATCTACCATGTGGAAATCATAACGTTTGGTGCTTTGGAGCAATATGAATATGGTTTATGTAAAATGTCTTCCTCAAAAAATTATATTCTAGGAGACACAGAATTAAACACAAATAACTCTACCCTGGGGTAGCACACAGATGCTATATGAATATCCAACAGTTAAAATTAATAGGCGTTGAGAGCTGAGAAGGCCAAAGGGATTGTGACCAACTCAGCATTCCACTGGAGGCTATAGGATCAAACAGCAAACTGTTTATCATGAATGCCACCATGAATGCAGGATGCAGGCAAACTCACAACTGCACCTACAACCAGGTTTGCTGAGGGCAATCACTCCCTGGTGCTGTGCTCATTGAGGTTATCTATTGGGATATCTAGAGCCTATTGTCAGAAGAATGCAGTCTTGTAAGCCTGCTGTAAATCAAGCAGCTTACCGACAACCACTCCCCGCTCTCGCTATCTCCTTTACCCAATAAAATGCGAAAGGCTCTAAAGCTCAGGGCTCTTGTTAACTAGAAGCAAGGAGCCCCGTGACCCTTTCTTCCAAATATATGCTTTTATCTTTGTCTTTGTCTTTATTCCCACGTTCATCATCCTTTGTTCAGATCCCCAAGGTCCATGCAGGTAACAAATAGGGATGAACAAGGTGAAGAAAGGGCCCTGAGACAGCTTCCCTCTGGGCACAGCCCAAAGGCCAGGTGGGGTGGATTTCCACAGGTGGGCATGGGAGAGAGGCGACTTCAGGGAAGAAGAACAGAGTACCAAAAGCACAGAGGAGAGTAGCACAGCATGGGCTTGATTGGTGGTTATATAGTGGAAATGAAAATCAGGAAAGAGAAGTAGACTGCAGCCAGGGTTGTGGGTTTTGAATCCGGGTTATGGAGCCAGACTAGACCATTGGCAAAAGGCAGCTGCTTTAGAAAGACCAACAGGACAGCAGCAGGCCAGACACACAGAGAGGCAGTTCAAGAGTGCTGGAGTAGCAAGGGTGAAGATCAGGATGAGACCAGAACTCAGCAACTGAGTCAGAATGAGAGGAAGGTACCTATGGAGCACACCAGTTATTTGAGCCAGGGTCTTGAGGCAAAATCCCAGTGCCCCCAACAAAACTACGCATTTCAAAGGGAGATTCTCCAGGAATGAGGGAGGTGGGAGGGGCAGGGGGAGGGTTGAGAGTGATTTGAGCCTTGTTAAGTTTGATGTTGGTATTACATAACATTAAGGTAGATGTGTCCTGAAGCTGAAATGTGGTCTTGAAAGACAGGCACTTGAGAAATGACGATTTCTGGCCTTGTGAGGTGGCTCACGCCTGCAATCCCAGCAATTTGGGAGGCCAAGGTGGGTGGATCACTTGAGGTCAGGAGTTCGAGACAAGCCTGGCCAACGTGATGAAACCCCATCTCTACCAAAAATACAAAAATTAGTTGGGTGTGGTGGTATGCGCCTGTAATCCCAGCTACTCGGGAGGTTGCGGTCGGAGAATCACTTGAACCTGGGAGGCGGAGGTTGCAACTCCAGTCTGGGGGACAGAGCAAGACTTCGTCTCCAAAAAAAAAAAAAAGAAAAAAAAAAAGGAAAAAAAAAAGAAAAAAAAACCATTATTTCCTACATTTAAAACTTTTGCTGCCATGGAGGTCTTAGCAAGGCAGGGTCTTGCTGAGTCTGAAATCCTCAGACTCAGAGACATTACTTTCAATGGCAAAAACCACAATTACTTTCACACCAACCTAATACAAGCTACCCATGGAGTTATACTCAGTGCCACAGTGTGGGTAAGGCTACCCATCAAGCGAGAGAAAAAGAGGTCATGAAAAGAAGGATGGGGGCAGCACTCAGGATTAGGATTGGGTCTGCAGGACCAAGAGAATGAGGGAGAATGGGCAGGAACCCAGAACCTGCCCTGGAGACCAGGCCTCCTGACCCTGCATTGGTGTCCCCCATCTTCTCCATGGCCCCGTGACCTCAGCACGACTGTGCTGCTCCCTCTTTTCCTTCTTACCTTCTCCTTCCCTGTCCTTCCCTGTTGTCTCTCTACCTTCAAACGTTCCCTCTTCTGCTATCACCTCACTTTCCCAATACATATTCAGGAAAAAAAGAAAGCAAGAAGCTGAGATGCTTACATCAGAAACCAGAATACAGCAAGCAAAGAGAAGACTTAGCAATAATGACAAACCTTTACCGTGATAAGCAGCACAGGAGGAGGCAGAGGACAGGATGGTGAGGGAAAAGCAGTAAGAGGATTTCAGACTCAGCACGACCCTGACTTGCTACAACCTCTATTACAACTAAAACCCTGGGTGCTACACCTTTGGATATGTAAATGTCCACATGGTTTTTTCAAAAATGATCAATTAGGATGATTTTCAATATGTTTTTCCTCCTACAGAGAACACATGGAAGGGAAAAGACAACACCCGTTCCAATCCCCATGACCAGGTTTCTATTGTTGTTTTGGTTTTCTTGAGACACCAGTGGGCCATGCAAAATCAACCCCCAGCAGTTAGCTCTTCTATATTCCATGGCAGTAAGCTTTGCGAATATTTTTTACATTTAGAGTAACTACTGTATTTCAGATCGGTCACATTTTAGGAAATGATAAAGTTGTATCCGACTGTGAACATGTATACTTTATTGCATTCAGCTCCTTTGTACATACTCAACATGTATGGTAGATCTCAGTGGATCTCAAGGGACTCTAGTGAAGGAGGCAGGAGTGGGAAGAACACCGGGTCAGGAACGTGGAGATCGTGAGTCTGGTTCTGTCTGGCTACTCACTAGCTGTGAGAACTTACACAAGTCACGACCTCCAACAGACCTCAGTTTCCTGTCTAAAAGATGCAGGTAGACCAGATGATCTTAGGAGTCTTTTCCACTTTGATAGTCTTGAACTTTGATAAATGTTTCCCTGTCCAACACAGAAGGACAGGGAAAGAGAAGGGAAGAAGTTAAACAGCGAGCAGCACAGTAGTGCTGAGGTTGCTGTGGAGAGAATGGGGGACGTCAACACAGGGGTCAGGAGGCCTGGTCTCCAGGGCAGGCTCTGGGTTCCCGCCCATTCTCCCTCAGTCTCTTAATGTGGGTGGTTAAGAACTCCACAAATGCCTGATTCACCACCTTGTGAAATAAATTTATGTTTCACTGAATGAATATATATTTCCATACACACATGCACACAAAATTATGTCTTACAGAACAGTCTGGATTTTCTTTCGCAGGGACTAAACAATTCCAAGATAAGTGTAAACAGTCAAACATTCCTAGACATTTTTAACAACTTCGGGTACTAGAGAAGTAATCAGCAGGCCACAGCTGCCAACCAGCATTAGAAACAGCACATCCGACAACCTCTGATCCCTTCCTTCAAAAGCCTGTTTGAGTTTGATGAGAGACTGGGATGTTCCCTACCTAGATGGTTAAAAATATAAGCTCAAAAGTCCTCATACAAGACTCAGACTCACACTTTTCCCTGCTGACCTGCGGGAGAGTTAAATACAAATCTCCCTATCAAATTTCAAACAGTGATGTCTGTTGGTGAAAGGAAGAAATACAGTTTAAAACGAATTCTCAAGAATATCTAGGAGCACTGCACTAGTTGATTAGTAAATATCTCATTAGCCAAGGAAGCAAACACAACGCTATGTGAGTTCTTGGATTTTTCACTGGCTAGAGGCTCGCACGCACACACGCGCACAGCCGCAGCCCGCAAAGTCTGCATGCAACACGTACCATAGACAGGCTGTCCTGTTATTTGCTCTTTGGGGGAAAAAGCTGTCGTGGTTACTTTGAAATTAGATTAAGCTATAACAACTAAATCTGGAAGAACATGTTTGCTCACTGAACTTCTCATTTAATCGTGTTACACTTAACAGAGCCAGTCATTTCCAAGGTATTTCTGTTTTTCTCAATTGATTCCACACAGTTCTGTGGTTTTGACTTGTGCTGATCTTTTTCAATGAAAATAAATGAACCATCTGGAAAAACAAGTACACATAAAACACTACTTCCTACATTTTAAAATGTTAAATTTGGAATTTTTTTTTTTTTCCAGAGGATTTTTGGTACATTTTAAGTGCCAACAAATTTAATAAAAACTTCATGAAGAACTTCTGGAGAGGCAAAAAATGTGATCTGTGTTCTTCTGATGGCTTTATGAGTTGTGAAAAACAGGCACACCCTGCAATCCCGTATTCCTGCTCAGTGGCACCAGCCCTCAGAAAGGCGTTAGGACTTCTACCCATGGAAGTGCCCAACACAGGAGTCCTGTCAGGGGCAGAGCCCAGTGAGGCAACCCCAAACGCCTTATGGAAGGATAAGAGGCTGCAGCCGTTGGCCAGGGCACAGACAGGGCATCTGTTCCAACTCAGGTATGATTTAACCTGGCCTGGAGGCCTGGAGCCAGAAGCCCAGTGGGGCCTGACACTGAGCGGTATGGTAGGGCCTAGTGGCTAAAACTCTCTCTCTCACTCACTGAGAGCCTCTGTGCTCCAGACATCCGTTAGGGGCTCTCCCTCCATTATCTCATTCTGTTCTCACAACAGCCTTCAAGGCACGTGCTCCTGTGCCCTGTACCCAGCTGAAGCGTTCATCCTTTCCCCCAGAGCTGGGTAGCACCGTTTCTGAGAGTAGAGGAGCCAATCACAGTTTCCAGGAGTCCATCCCTCTGGTGCTCCCCACTTGGGGAAAAAAAAACAAAAAGGCAGGCAGCTGAGTCCTCCAACACCCTCATCCACAAACACACTACTTTCAGAGGGGCAAGCCTGGGAGTGGAGGAGTGGATGGCAGCATGTCGCCAGAGAGGAAAAATAGACCGGAATTAAAGGCCTGAACCCAAGGTCTCACCCCAATGCCTTGTCTTTCCGCAAGAGAAGATTCTCTCGTCCACAAAATCAGAATGACAATAACTGCCACCTGTCCCCCTCTCGGGGCTGTCAGAGGGATCCAACGTGACAGTGCAAGCCAGAGTATCCTGTCAACTGTGAAGGAGGCCACAGTCGTCCGCTGACCCCTGGCTGGCACAGAGCAACTCACCTCGAAGCACCAGTCAATGATTCTGAGACCCACCTGGAAGGAAAAACCAGCACACTCCTGACTCTAGGAAACAATAAGTGCTTACTGGGCACTCCTGACACTAGTCGAAGTGGTCGCAACACTCGAAAGGCACGGAGGGCTTTGACATCAAAGCCTCCAGACTTGCCGCTAGAGTGGTTCCCGCCTTCTGTTTCTTTGGTTAATTGTTCCAAAATTACACTAAACAATCTGAAAGAAGAGAAAGAGAAAGAAACGTTAGAGTCTGTCACCCCAGGGAAGTGAAACAGGATGATAACCATGTTATTTCTGAACAAGGGCTAATTCTGTATGGCTGCTGCTTAAATCAAAGGAAGACAAAGATAAGAACTGGGCTGTGGAATTGGAATACAGATGACTCCAACTCCAGAATGACTGGGACAGGGATTAACCTCATCTGGTTTTATCGCAATGGAGCAGCAGAGAGCAAGTCTGTTCCCAAAGAAGAGGGGACTCCCTGGGAACCCAATGATGACAAGTGGAACTGCTGCAAACTGCAATGACCACAGTCGTGTTGGTGGCTACCATTCATGAGCACTGCACATATATTGTCGCATTAATTCTCACAAAATGTTACGCAGTAGGAATTAAGAACACCATGTTACACATGAGAAAACAAACTCAATAGGAATAAGTAGCTTGTCCAAGGTCACACAACCAGCAGCAACACATGTAAAGGCAGGCCTGTGGACCCCTCTAGAACGTAGGTTCTGTAACAGCAAGGAGTTTTGGTCTGCTCTGCTCATTTGTGTATGTGGTCTATTCTAGTCTAGAGCCTATTACAGTATCTGACACATAGGAAGTACTCCAAAAATATCTGATGAATCAATCAATGCATGACTTCAAAGTCTCACATCTTAATATGTCATACGTAGTCAATGTAGTCACTAACACACATACCCCAACCTTCACCTTCATAGGGATATTTGGATGATGTAAATCACAGATACTAAGGAGCTGTGCAAAGGCTAAAGGCAGTTATCTAAGGTAAGGTATTAATATCATCATTCTCTCTTTTGAAATGTGAATAATATTGTACCTGGTAGCCACAATAAATGTTGTCCTAGTCTTAGAAGGTTCGGATAAAGCTCTTTTCAGGCAATCTGCTCATCTAACAGTTACTTTTCCTCTTTTAAATAAATATTCTTTGGAATTATTGCTCATTTTTCAGAGTAAGTATAAAATTTGCCCATTTCAAACAGCATCAACTCTGGCCAATCAGATTGTGGGAATGACTGGCCCAGCAACAAAGAAAAGGTCTCCAGAGTTTAATGAGCAGACAAAGCAGAAACTGCCCCCACTGGCATGTCTCTGGGCTGCCAAGACACTAAGTCCATAAAACATAGGGTGGTCTGATGGCAGCCCTGACTGGGTATAGTTGTGTAGTTCCGAGGCATTGACAGATCAATCCTTTGTTTTAGTAACAGTATATCAATTAGCAACAAACCCGGTCTCCACCTCTACAAAGCTTCAGATGGTAAGCTCTCCCTAGTTATGACTGAGGAAACAGATCAGATTTATGACAGGCTTCTCTCTCTTCAGCATGGTTTTTACAAAATTACTGTAAATCCCTGCAGCAAGGCTAAAGTGAAAAGTCTCTCCTCCAAAACAAATTCATAGCTTCAGAAAAAACAAAGAAAAAGAAAGAAAGAAAACCTCAAACTCTTCTGCAATGTGCAAGCCACAGGAATTTTCATCCCAAAGGGTTAGCAAAGTAATTTATGCAGGTAGTGACTGAAGACTGCTTTCAAGTATCCGTGTTTTGCAACATCTACTTCACGGTCCCTTTATTCCTTGTTCTTCAGCAATGTCCTTGAAAACACATGAAAAATGTCTCTCTCTTATTACCAAAGAGCCCAAGTCAGAGAGAGAAGCAGGCTGTGTTCCCAGGCAGTGCAGGGCTGCAAGGGGCCAGGGCTGGTTTCCATTCCTAAGAGTTATGAGATATTAGGGAAGTCCCTCTCCTTCTCTGGGCCTCAGTTCTCCTCTCTGTAAAATGACAAAACTGGATTTAACGACTCAGAGAATGACGTTTCCACTCTACCATTCCGTGATTCTGTTCCTCACCACCACGCCTCTCCAAAAAAGTACCATGGGCCCGAAGAGATAAGGACAGGATGAGAAAGGAGTAACTGACTCTAGATTGTTACTAAAAGTTTACCCCAAGGTGGGAGAAAAAAACAAGAAGCTGTCTGAACTGACTAAAGTCAGAAGCACCAGAATGAGGAGTCATGTTCTTAAAAAAGCTTAAGCAACAGAGTCTGAATGCTTGAAATATATCTTTATTGAAAATTTAGAGGCATGGGACAAAAGCTGGCTTAGATCAAACTTTTCTCTAAAGGAATAACTTCAGCTCTGGCAGACACACTGAGTCCTCTTGTGGTCACATTAACAGTTAACATTTTAGAAATATCAATTACTTTCTTAACGTCTTGGTTATTGGGAATCTTGACAAAAGCAATAGGTCACTGTTGACTTGGAATGGAAAATCCATTGGATTGAGATACAGACTGCAGTTGGAAACTTTAGTGAGTAGGAATTTGATTCAAATGAAGACATCATAATTCTTCTTTTTCTTTTTTAAAACCTTTCTTCCACTCTTTGACTACAGTTTCGTGCATATTTTAGATAAAAAATAATCTGATGTTCTGAAGTTTTTCTAAGAGTCCAGTTCTGCTTCAGTTTCCTAGATTTTTTTTTTTGCTTTTTAAATCACTTTATATTGCAGTTTAATTTATCTATAATAAAACACACTTATTTAAAGTGTATGATGAGTTTTGAAAAATGCATAAGCCTAAGTAACAAACACCATGATCAAGATAGAGAAGATTTCAACATTTCAAATGACTCTCTTGTGCCCCCTGCACAGCCTCGTGCAGAGCTTCCCTCGAAGCTCAGCCTTGAGTATCCAGTGATTGGCCGTTTATTGCTAGAGTTTTTTTTTTTTCTAGAACCCATATAAATGAAATCACATAGTATGTTCTCCTGGCTCATCTTCTTTTGCTCAGCATAACGTTTTTGACACTCATCTGCGTTATTTTATCAGCAGTTCACTTCTTTTTGTTGTTCCGTAATATCCCACTATATAAATACACCACAATGAGTTTATCCATTCACCCGTTGAGGGATATATGAGTTGTTTCCAGTTTTTCCCTATTATGAATAAAGTTTTTTTGTGGACATGTGTTTTCATTTTTCTTGGATAAATACCTAAGAGTAGAACTGGTAATATGGTCATATGGTAAGTCTATGTTTAACACTGTAAGAAATGGGCGCATTTTTTCCAAAGTAATTATACCATTTTTCATTTCTACAAGTGGTGTATGAGAGTTCCAGTTGTTCCATATTTTGGTTAAGACTTGGTATTTTCAGTCTTTTTACATTTAGTAATACTAGTGGGTATGCAGTACAGTCACTGTAGTTTTAATTTGCATTTCTCTAATTACTAACAATGTTGAGCATCTTTTCAGATGTTTGTTGACGATCCACGTATCTTCTTTTGTGAAGATCTGTTCAAATCTTTTACCTACTTGCTTATTGGGTTGTCTTCTTACTATTGGGTTGTAAGAGTTCTTTATATATTCTGAATACAAGTGTTTTGTCAGATGTATGTATTGTGAATATTTTGCCAATCTGTGCCTTGCTTTTTCATTGTCTTCACACTGTCTTTTGAAGAAAAGTTTTAAATTTTGATAAAGTCAATATTTTCAACTACTCTTTCATGACTGGAGCTTTTTGTATCCTGAGAAATCTCTGCCTACACTGAGGTCATAAAGATTTTTTCCAATATTTTCTACGAGAAATTTCATGGTTTTACACTGCTCAAAGAAATCAGAGATGACACAAACAAATGGAAAAACATACCATGTTCACAAATAGGAAGACTCAGTATCAGTTAATTAGTCATACTGCCCAAAACAACTTACAGATTCAATGCTATTCCTATCAAACTACCAATGACATTATTCACATAACTAGAAAAAAACAATTTTAAAATTCATATGGAACAAAAAAGGAGCCTGGATGGCCAAGGCAATCCTAAACAAAACAACAAAGTTAGAAGGGTCACATTACCCAACTTCAAATTATACTACAGGGCTACAGTAACCAGAACAAATGGTGCTCATACAAAAACAGACACACAGACCAGCAGAACATAGTAGAGAGCCCAGAAATAAGGTCACACACCTACAACCATCTGATCTTCGACAAAGGGGACGAAAAAAAAGCAATGGGGAAAGGACTCCCCATTCAATAAAACATGCTGGGACAACTGGCAAGCCATATGCACAAGATTGAAACTGGACCTCTTTCTTATATATACAAAAATCAACTCAGATGGATTAAAGACTTAAATGTAAAACCCAAAACTATAAAAAACCCTGGAAGACAGCTTAGGCAATACCATTCTGGACATAGGAATGGGCAAGGATTTCATGACGAAGATGCCAAAAGCAATCACAACAAAAGCAAAACCTGACATATGGGGCCTAATTAAACTTAAGAGCTTCTGCACAACAAAAGAAACAGGGTAAAGAGACAACCTACAGAATGAGAAAAAAAATTGGCAAATTATGCATCTGACAAAGGTCTGATATCCCAACATCTATAAGGAACTCAAACAACTTCACAAGAAAAAAGGAAACTCCCATTAAAAAGTCAGCAAAGGACACAAAGAGATACTATTCAAAAGACATACATGTGGTCAAGAAGCATATGAAAAAAAGTTCCGTATTACTGATCGTCAGATAAGCGCAAATCAAAACCACAATGAGATACTATTTCACACCAGTTAAAATGGCTACTCTTAAAAAGTCAGAAAATAACAGATGCTGGCGAGGTTGCAGAGGAAAAGGAATGCTTATACACTGTTGGTGGGAGTGTAGATTAGTTCAACCATTGTGGAAAGCGGCGTGGCAATTCCTCAAAGAGCTAACAACAGAACTACCATTTGACCCAGAAATCCCATTACTTGGTATACACCCAGAGAAAAATAAACCATTCTACCACAAAGACACATGCATGTGAATGTTCACTGTGGCACTATTCACAATAGCAAAGACATGGAATCAACCTACATGCCCATCAATACAGACTGGATAAGGAAAATGTGAACAACTACACCAAGGAATACTATGCAGTCATAAAAAAGAACAAGATCATTTCTTTTGTGGGCACATGGATGGAGCTGGAAGCCATTATCCTTAGCAAACTAATACTGGAACAAAAAAACAAATACCACATGTTCTCACTTACAAGTGGGAGCTAAATGATGAGAGCACATGGACACAAAGGCCGTTCTCCTTTCTTTGTGATAATGATTTTAATAAGGTTTAAATCTAGGTTTACCTAGGTTTAAATCTAGCAACTTGCCATTTGTTTTCTATTTGTCCTGTCCTTTGTTCCTTTTTTCTTCTTCCCTGCCTGTTTTGGATTGAGGGTTTTTAAAAATTCCATTTAATCTCTACTATAGGCTTCTTAGATATACCCGGGATTTTTTTTTTTTTTTTTTTTTTTAGTGGCTTCTCTAAGGCAAGTGTCAATAAATATTTTCTATAAAGTGCCAAATAGTAAATATTTTAGAATCTGCAGGCCATAGGGTTTGTCACAACTACCCAACTTTGCCATTATAACACCAAATAGCCATAGACATGACTGAATGTGGCTGAATTACAATGAAACTTTTTTGCCAAAGCAGGCAGTCAATAAAATACTTTGTCAATGGTGGGGGAAAAAAGGCTCAAACTAGATTTGGTCTACAGGTTGTAGTTTGCCAATCCATATTCTAGGGTTTACAATATACATCTTTTTTTTTTTTTTTTTTTTTTGAGACGGAGTCTCGCTCTGTGGCCCAGGCTGGAGTGCAGTGGCCGGATCTCAGCTCACTGCAAGCTCCACCTCCCAGGTTCCCGCCATTCTCCTGCCTCAGCCTCCCGAGTAGCTGGGACTACAGGCGCCCGCCACCGCGCCCGGCTAATTTTTTGTGTTTTTAGTAGAGACGGGGTTTCACCGTGTTAGCCAGGATGGTCTCGATCTCCTGACCTCGTGATCCCCCCGTCTCGGCCTCCCAAAGTGCTGGGATTACAGGCTTGAGCCACCGCGCCCGGCCTACAATATACATCTTGAAGGTATTACAGTCTATCTTCAGATAATATTTAATCATTCCAACTACTGTATAAGTATATGACAAGACCATATGCTACTTCCCTGTTCCTGTCCTTCATGCTACCATTGTCATGTACTTTATTTCTGTAGAAGATATAGGCACTACAATACATTGTTATTATTTTTGCTTTAAATAATTACCTTTAAAGAAATTTTTAAATGAGGGGAAAAATGTTTCTATATGTACCCACGTATTTACCCTTTCTGGCACTCTTCATTCTTTCTGTGTAGATCCACTTTTCTACCTCATGTCATTTTCCTCCAGCCCTGAGGAACTGTCTTTAACACTGATTGAGGTACAGGCCTATTAGTCATTAATTCTGAAACTCTGGCATGTCTGAAAAAGTTTTTATTTTGACTTTAACTCTGAAAGACATTTTACTGAGTGAGAATCCTAGGTTGACATTTTCCCCCAGTACTTTAAAGATGTCTCTCTATTGTCTTGGCTTGCATAGCTGTTGACAAATAGTCTGAGACTTTTTTCTCTGTTTTAAGGTTTTCTCCTTATCTTTGGTTTTTAACAATTTGATTACAATTATGATGTGCCTTGATGTGGCTTTCTTCATGTTTATTTTGCTCAGGCTTTGCTGAGCTTCTTGTGAGTTTAGTTTTTCATCACATTTGGAAAATCTGGAGCTGTTTCTTCAAATATTTTTTCTGTCTCTTCTTTCTCTCCTCTCCTTCTGAGACCCCAAATATACACGTTAGACCACTTGATATTCCCCCACAGGTCACAGAGGTGGTATTCATTTTCTTCTCAATCATTATTCTTCATGTTATTGCTATATGTTCAAATTCCCTGATATTTTTCCTTCTCTAGTGTCTAAGCTGAGGTTAAGCTAATCCAGAGAATTTTTCATTTTGGATATATTTTTCATCTCTTAAAGTTCAATTTTTTTAATATTGTCCCATCTTTCCTTACTATAATCATGTATCCCTTTAAGTCCATAAATGTATGTATAATAGTAGTTTTTACAGTTTTGTGAAGTCCTTCTCTAATTCCATCACCTCTGTCATTTCAAGATCTGTTTCTACTGATGGAGTTTCCTCCTGGTTATGGGTTACATTCCTTCATATGTTCCGTGTCTAGATTTTGTTGTCTTCCTTTAAACAATGTTGAGTTGTCTTCTGGCAGGCAGTTCAGTTAGCATATCAGTTTCCTTTTCTTTTTTTCTGAAACAGAGTCTCACTCTGCCACCCAGGTTGGAGTGCAGTGGCACGATTTTGGCTCACTGCAACCTCTGCCTCCCAGGTTTAGGCAATTCTCCTGCCTCAGCCTCCCATGTAGCTGGGATTACAGGCACGCACCACCACACCCAGATAATTTTTGCATTTTTAGTAGAGATGGGGTTTCACCATGCTGGTCACGGCTGGTCTTGAACTCCTGACCTCAGGTGATCCACCCACCTCGGCCTCCCAAGGTGCTGGGATTACAGGCATGAGCCTAGTTTGCCCGGCCTAGTTTGCTTCTTTTCAGACTTCTTTTCAAACATTGTAAGCAAGGGTTTCAGGTAGTCTCTGTACTCTAGAGTAGCGACTGGCAAACTTTTTCTGTAAAGGGCAGTAAATATTTAAATATCTTAGGTTTTGTGGACCTAAACTACTCAAACTGAACTATGTAAACAAATGAGCGTGCCCATGTTACAATAAAACTTTATTTATAAAAATAGGTGGCAGGCTAGATGGGCTAGGAGTTGGCCCATTGGCCACAGTTTGCCAGCCCCTGCTCTAGAACCAGTTTAGCACTACTACTAATGGCCCTGTGGGGTCTCTACTGACAGTCCAGGGTGTTCTATGAGGTCTTTCCACCCTAATTAGTCAGAATTTGAACGCCTTCTAGTCCTTTGTGAGCCCTGGTTATTATTCATTTTACAGCTCCCTGATCTTTCTCTTTTCCCTAGTAGTGGTCTTTCCTGGCCTCATGGACTCACAACTCCGTGTAGGTGTAGCTTAGCCCTTAGCCAAAACTGAAGAGGACTCTAAGGCATATTTATGAAGCTCTTTCTCTAAATAGCTCCCGCCCTTCCCATATTCTGCCTCCCCAAACTCTCGTCTCTGTCTCCTTAACTCAATAAGACCACCATGCTCCACTTGGTTCCCTGTCCTTGTGCTGTGCTGTAGCGTGAAAAATGTCTCCAGGCAGAAATCTGAGGTGATCATAGCATGGTGATGAAAGAAATGGGGCTAAGCATCTCCATTCCCAGCTGAACGAAAACTCCAGTGGCAGAAGAGGCACAGCCAGATTATCCCAGAACCAACATACCTGCAAGGCTCCCGCCTGCCATTCCTTGACAGAGTCCACCAAATACAGGAAAGTATGGCACATATCTGCCACCTATTCATTTTGGTGCACTTCTTTTGCAATGATGCCTTAAATGCCAATGTGCCGTGGGGGTTTTGCAAAAGCTAACTTGTTTCCCACAAGTCTAACTGTCCCATCGGGCAATCAGGATCTCATATTAACTTCCTAGGTTGAAAGGACATAGGAAGGCCCACAACCAATTCCACTCTCCCAATACCCAGCAGATTTCGTTTCCAATGAAAAGGCAAAAGATTCATGATAAAAGGATAATCCACAAGAAAAATCACCTTGCTCAATTGTAAAAGGCAGTTCACTGAAGTCATGAAGATGAAAACAGAGAGGCTATTTAAAAACCTCTCTTTACAAAAACATAATTTTAGGAGCAACTCACTTTACAGCTAGCATAACTAAGACTGGGAAAAAGGATATATCTTATCTTCCTACATGGGTATTTGGTCCAAAGACCCAGCATTCCTGTAACGTGGATTCATTTTTCTCTTCCTGGCAGCATTTCCAGGTGTGGAAGGACTAAAATAACACAGGCCACTATTTTTTATTTTAACATTCTCCTTTAACTAAAACTACTGATGTCTTCTTCCTGCAACAGGATTTTGGTGGAACACCTGCTTCTCTGCATTTTCTAGCTTATTTCATTTTATGCCAGATACATGACATTATCCAGACACTTGTTTCGTTATTTAAAATGGAATTGTAGTATGCCAGAGTTTCTCCCACAAGTCAGCAAAAAAAAAAAAAAAAGAAGAAAGAAAATTAATAGCTTTGCTCAAGGGATGTTAAATAGCAGAGTACCTCACTGCTATGAAGGTTTTATTACTTTTTACTTTTTTTAACTTAACATTGGCACTAAGTATTAAAAGCTCTACTCACTTGACTCTAATCACCAACAGGATTGGTCTATTTCTGGAGATCCAAGACCCTGTTAGGTAAAGCCTCTCACATTAGGAGCTTACACTCCCATCTATAACATGTTACTAAAAAGGGGAGTCACAACGAGAGAATTTCAAACTAGTCTCTGCCCAGAGATTGACAGCAGCAACATCAGCGTTAAAAGAACTCCTGAGAGATTCTGGTGCAACAGCTGGCATAAAAGAGCAACAACATTCCCTAAAAAGACTGTTTTGTTACCGTTCCCCCCAACCTCCACCTCCCATTTTCCATTTTCCAAATCAACATTTTCCCAAAGTAAAAGGGACTTACCCTACTATTACTATAACAAAATCCAGTAAATTCCATCCATTCCTAACATAAGCATTAGGATGTAGCAATAATCCATACGCTATAATCTTCAAAAATGTCTCGACTGTAAAAATAATCAGGAAGGCATATTCTACTTTTTCCTGTGAAGAAAAACAAAGAAACATACCAAAAAAGTAGGGGCAGGGGAGGAAGAGGAGACAGAAAAAGGAAGAGAGATTAGAATCAACATCTTAGACATATAAGCATTTTATTATGAGAAATGGAACAATTATACTGCCCCTGGGCCAGGAAGGCATTTACATTCTAACACTGAATTTCTCATAAGCAACTACGTGTGCAACACTTCTTGTTCCAGGCTGCATGACTGCATTTTGCCACCTGCCCCAATGCGTGTGTGATGAGTCTGCTTAGGACATAACAGGCATGTTTGTTATTTGCACACATTTGCAAAACGCAGCATGCTCTCCTTCTGAGGTTGCCAAATCAGGCCCAGAAAAGCACAAGGGCACAACAAAGATTCCAATGGTGGCTTTGAACAGAAGAAATTCATCCTCCGGAAGAAATGAAGATGCATCTGTTTTGACCCTCTCTTCTTCTTGGGTTTATGTCTGAGTTCGAAGTCAGAGTCAGCTTTGTCACTGAGTAGCAAGGTGACCCTGAGCAAGTCCTTCCCCTCCTCTGGGCATAAGTTTCTGCATCTGCACAGTAAGGGAAGTGAATTCAGGATGGCAAACACCCTGCCTGCTTATTGGCATGCCGCCTCTCCTGGCTGAACTTGTGACAGGTCACCATGCCCTTTCCCAGGAAACCTAGGCAGAGCCTCTGACCTTTTCTCTTGTATCCGCCCCAGCAGCCATGCCCATCTGACTGCCACAGACCTCACAGGTGCCGCTCATGGGCTAAATGACTCTTAGAACCTTTCCAGTTCCAACCCATGCAACTCCATGAGCTATGGAAAATATATCAATCAGCAAGTCTAAAAACTTTGACTCTTTCCTCTTTTATAAATGTTTTCTTTATGCAGCTTCAGTTTCAATAGAAACATGGACCGACAGAGATGTGGGCAATTAACTTTACAAGAAGCATTCCCCGTATGAAGCTCTTTAAATAACAAAGTATCATCAGCAACTGTAACTTTTCAATATGAACTACAGAGTCCTACACTACTATGAGTGGGACCTGAAAAGTTACCAATACCTTAGAGAAACGGAGGTCATGAAATCCACTCATTAAAATGCCTAGTGCAAGAGATCAAAATAAATTAGGCTCAGGAAACACTTACATGAACACCACTTCTAAATGACAGGCACCGTACCAGGAGCCAGAAAAATGTCCCCACCATGGTACCTGTCATTTATTCTGTTGCTGTGGGGGAAGCTGTGAGGAGGGGGAAGTTTTGAATGTAGACACAGAGAATTTCTCAAGACTCACAAAAGTAGTAACTGACGAGAGAGATTCTAGATCTTCAGCCCTCCGATCAGGTCAACCCCTCCTTTTCACAACTGATTCCAGGGGGGAAAAAAGCACTTTGCTGTGTTATATGTTATCACTATTACAGACTTATTTTTATGCAATAGGCAAATGTGTATTTTTAAAGAAATTTTACGTTTCTGGGCCGAGCGCGGTGGCTCAAGCCTGTAATCCCAGCACTTTGGGAGGCCGAGGCGGGTGGATCACGAGGTCAGGAGATCGAGACCATCCTGGCTAACATAGTGAAACCCCGTCTCTACTAAAAATACAAAAAACTAGCCGGGCGAGGTGGCGGGCGCCTGTAGTCCCAGCTACTCGGAGGCTGAGGCGGGAGAATGGCGTGAACCCGGGAGGCGGAGCTTGCAGTGAGCCAAGATCGCGCCACCGCACTCCAGCCTGGGCGACACAGCGAGACTCCGTCTCAAAAAAAAAAAAAAGAAATTTTACGTTTCTGAAGAGAATACTTTTTATTCAGAAACATTTTTAAAAACACGAAATTTAGGATGATTCCCATAAGCCTGACCCTTTGAGGAACTGTCACCTGTTAAATGTTTGCTTGCAGTATCCCCAGCACCCTTGTGCATTTAAATGGGAGCCTCGCCTGTGTCGCCCCTGGGCTCTGGCTGTCTGCTGCCAGAATGGCTGCCCCTCTGTCACCGGCTGTGCCAGGCAGAACTTCCCTTTGTCGTGCCACAGGTATCCTCCCTCTTGACCACCAGGGGGACCATGCAGCCATGGCCATGCATCCCAGCCTTTGCCCCCATTCTCCACTCTTCACTGGTCATATAACAGGGCTTCCTCTCAAGGACAGGGCTGTTGTGATTCCTATCATTTCTAAACACTTGCCCTCCAGAGCTCCCTTTGCTCCTCAGAACACCATTACAACAATCTAGTGAACGAATTGTGTGTGTGTGTGTGTTTTGAGAGTTAGCCAGCATCAGTGTGTTTATAATTTAATTTAGAAAGCCTAGCTCATCTCCAACCTCTATACTCATGCCCCCTCTAGACCTTGAGACCAGTCCTGTTCTCAGCCAGGCTCATTCCATGCCCCTGTGCCTTCTTCCCCCATGCCCTTCATACAGCTACATGAGATGCTACGCTCAGAGCTACAAGGATGCCCTTCCTTGCTTACTGTCCAGATTCCCCATTGCCCCGTTCCCTGCCATATCCCCCAAGGGAGTGCTCGCTCGGGAGGCATGCGAGGCATGGCTGTTGGAGGAATGATCGCACACTCATGCCACTGGTATTCTAAGCAGGCACCAGTGTTGCTACTGGATAGAGGGAAAGATACAGGAAGGCCTCAATGAAGCCATAACATTAACTCTGAAAGCTCAAAGAAAAAGGAACTCTGTTACTTTAACCAGAGGCAAAAATCCCTGAAAATGCCAACCCACTGTGCTCACATCAGACCCTGACCACCAAATGCAGACTGTCAATATGTTTGAGACTTAAGAGTTCTAAGGGAACCAGAGAAGCTAAAAACAGCACACTGATTTTACAATTCATCCCTTTTTATCCTTGCTGCTTTATTTACTAGGCCAGACAGAAAAAAAAAAGCTTTTGCTGCCATCAATATTCATAGCAGTTACATCCCTACGTCAAGACAGCACACTATACTTCAGAGCAGAAAAGCAAAGCAGAGAACAGACAGTCCACCTCCCAACCAGAGCTGGCTTTACCTCTTTCACTTTTATTTAGAAGTAATTTTGCCACAATAACATAAGGGCCATTAGTATAAATGAATCGTTAAACGTTCTTTTTCCTTCTCCTTTGCCCTCTCCCTGCTTTTTAAATAATTTGGTTTCTCTTTCCAAAATCCTTAGTGAATTATTTGATGGGATTCTTTATAAGAAATACAAACTTCCTTTAATACAATTCTTTATTACAGAGATTCTACCATGATGCCAACTGAACAATCGCAGCCTGGAGAGCAGGCAGACCAGTTTATCTAGAAGCCAGTGTCATCCTGGTCCTCAATCCTGCCACTAAAAAGGAATCCTATGAAACAGGTATACCTCCACATTCAACAAACGAAGTATTATTTTTAAATATTGCAAAACGTCGTTCAGGAGAAGTGGGATAATTACTTGCTTTACAAGAGGATTGTTCATTTGAGAAAAGAATGTTGAATTAACAATTTGAAAAGGAAGCCAGCAAGAAAGACAGGTTCCTAACCAGGCAAGGCGGGACTGTGGGCCCAGCCAAAGCAGTTGGGTGAGAGGTAACACACAGAAGACACTGAGGTCTGTGGCCACAATGGATGGAAGCACAGAGGAAGAAAGACTGGGATGGCGGAAGAAGGGGCCAGCAGGAGCCCTCTAGAACCAGACATGAAATGAGGCATCCCTGGTATAAAAGGCCTGAGCAGGAGCTGTACCTTAACAGCCCTTCCCCAGGTAAACGAAAAGAGTAAATGATTCCTGCGTCTCATCCCCTCCGTGTGCCAGGCAGAGTCACGCCTGGGGCACTCAGTCACCCACCAGCAGAGATTTCTTCTCCCTGGCAGGAGATCCTGAGTGGGCAGGACCAGTCAAACCTTCCTTTAGAAAACAATGTCCAGAAACTACCCTATACATGGACAGAAGTCCCCGCCCCCCCTCACCAACCCCAGCCAAAACTCAAGCCACTAGAGAAACAAAGGCTCAATTCTAATTCTAAAACCTGATGTATCTTCTTCAAACAGTGAAATTTCACCAACAGGACAGGCTCTAAACCAATAGTCTCTAAACTAGTTAATAATCTCCAAACCAGTTAATGCTATACAGAATCTTGAGAAACAGAAACTCAACTAGCAAGAGGTGGGAGATGCCAGAATCCTTCATTAGACTTGGTAGTCTCCTATTTCAAGAATCCTCTTATTAGCGCTGTGGTATGAATGCTTGTCTATCAGTCTATCTGTCCATCCCTGAGCACCTGCATCCTCCTCAGCAAAGCCAGAACCCTGTCCTCACAGAGCTCCCAAGCTGCTGTCAAAAGGTGAACGGAGGCTTGATGCAGCCAGGTAAGAGTCACTTCTCGGTTTTGCTCTTCCGCCCACGTGGCCCAAGGCTTTGGGAAGGCTTTCTGGCTTACACTCTACCAGAAGTCCCCGTCTCCCACTGACACCTTCCATCCCTTCTGTGCCCTGCAGTCCTGGATTCTCTATTGAAAGGGGCCCTCTCTGTCTTTAACTGTAGCATCAGACATATGTAAGGTACTCATAAGTGCTACTAGAAAGCAGACAAGAAAAAAAATGGAAGGAATAAAGCTACAGATCTAGACATGTAGGGGCTATTACAGCATGAGGTTTTATGATCCTAGCATATGTATTAAAAACACACACACAGGATACGTATGATACTAAGTTACCATAAACCCTTTTTAGAACAAGCCTGAGATTCAAACTGCTGAGACAACAGCTGATCTCAACATCTCACCTGGCCTCCCCTGCTATCCCAACCTGCAGCTCCTTGGTTAAGGACCTCACCCTTTCATCCTTGCCTAGATTCCTCTTCCTCTAACTTTCCCACCTCTCCTCTGTCAGAGTGCTTCACTCCAAGTCATGGGCCAACCTGCTCCCTCCCACACATGCCAGCCGCCTTCCCACCTCCATGTCTTTGCCCTCCCTGCTTTACCCACTGAGAGTGCCTGCCCCATGGACATGAACTTCCCTCTTTAGATGAATGAGCAT